ACGCGCGTCAGCCAGCTGTTCGCGAACAGGGCGATGTCCAGGCCCGGGGCCAGCGAGCCCGCCTTGCTGAGCGCGTGGTACGTCACGTTGGACTTGGCCGCGTCGTCCGGGATGTAGTGGCCGTAGACGTCGACGGCGTGGCCGCGCGCCGCCAGCCCGCGCACCAGCGGCTCGTTCACCATCGTGTGGCTCCTGCCCTTCATGGCGAACACGGCCAGGATGCGCGCGCCGTCCGCCGACGGCGGCGCCCAGCCGGCGCACGTCAGCGCCACCAGGATCGCGATCATGGACGTGGACGTCGGGGGCAACATAGCGACGTAGTAGTGTGATCCGACCGCCTCGACACGCGGCTATGTTGTGACTGAGACGGGGAGGCGAGGCGCCGCGGCCCCGCGGAGAGGAAGGAGTACGGCGGCACCAGGCGGGGCGGGGCGGGGCGATGGAGCGGCTGGCCGCGTACGAGTAGGCCGCGTGTAGAACTTCTCTACGACAAACCTGACTCTCCAAGTCCCGACGTGACGGCGCGAGTATGTTGTAGGCGGTTGTAATGAGGCAATTGCGATGATGGTTTCAGTGTAACCGAGTTTGCAGGATTAACGCCCAATCACTTTCTCTTGAAAGTCCACTTCTTCGCCACGTGATAGGGTGGTGTTAGGTCCTCCACCTTCCGCACTCTTGCCGCCGTGACAATGGGAATCTGCAGCGCACTCGGGAGGAGTGCTTTTTAGCTCATTCTTCTGAAAGCTGATTTGGCAGACTTAGCTTTCTGTCGAGTGGCGACATAGCGCAGAGGGTTGAGGCGCTTCCTGTCAGTAAATACCTCACATCCCAAGCACACCCAGGTAAAGCGGTGTTCCTGACCCTTGATTTCGTAACAACATATTAATCCAGGAGGGCCACGCCGATATTTTCGTTTTGCACGAATGCAATTCGCATTGGGACGACCTAGTGTTCTCGGTTTAACTGAGCACAGTTACCGAGTAACTTCATTCAGGCGCGCGTTTCTTTTACTTTTGCTGTGTTTTGGGGTGTTTCTTCCCAAGCCTGCTAACAACATCCGCATGCGTTGATGTCAAGACGATGACTCGGTCACCCCGCCGCTTTATCAAAAGCGGCTACCGTGTTGTCCGATACGAGGCGTAGGAGTGGGCGTGGGCATCTATCGCAGTTTGCCCCTAAGCGCCCCGTCACTATCTCCCACGCGGATTGTGAGTGAGATGAAAGACGAAGTAATTAAATAGCGGTACTGTGATCACGTGATCACTCACTCCACGACAAACGATTGTCCAGTCATGCGCTGGCCGCGCATCGGCATTCTCAATCTGGAGGCAGCCGAGACGACGTCAGCGAAAGTCTTCTAAACTGAGCAACAAGGTTTTCTTCTTAAATTTTAAGTTTTATCAGAAATAAACGTTCCGTTCGATGTCCCGCGACATCGGGCTGGAAACCCAGAAAACATCGATCAGGCGAAAACTGTGTAGTAACGGTATATCGTCATGAAGTTTGTTAGAAACTTGGAGGGAAGGCCATGGTCATGAATGCCCAAAGATGTTTCAAGCGTCCAAATTGGGGTTTCCACTAGAACGAACTGAGCGGATCGCTGCATTTCACTCCATTTCCTCGCAGTACATGCCAGGTGTTTCGGTGCGTGCGCGCACCGGCATTTTTTTGTTTAATCTCTTATATTTTTCCTGAACAGTTTTAATTTCTTTCAATCTTCTAGAAACGTTTCTAAATTTCCGGAAAAATAAATTTCAAATCCCTCTACTGATACGCTCGAAAAAGCGCGCATTATCATAGTGTCGTTCCAGCTCCAGCGAAACCGGTCGGGTCGCGTGCATTCAGCCGCGGGGCTACCTGGATGACGTACTCACCTGCGGCAGGGCCTGCTCGGGCGCAATGTGCAGCCCGCCCACCTCCACCACGTTGGGGGGCAGCGGGCGGGCGGGGGAGAGCGCGGGGTGCGTGTTGAGCAGCAGCATGGCAGCGTCGGGCAGCAGGCGCGCGAGGGGCGGCGTCCCCGCCGGCACCAGCGCGTCCACGACGGCCTGCTCGCGGGGCGCGAACCACAGGTGGTACAGGGCGGCGTTGGCGGCCCACAGCGCCGCGTTCTGCAGCCGCGCCGCGAAGGGCATGTCGTCCGTGACGGGCAGCGAGAAGGCGGCCACGTGCGCGGGGTTGGAGGGCACGCCGAAGCGCGCGTAGCCCCAGGGCGGCAGCGGGCCCGAGTTGACGAACAGGTGCGGCGCGCCCAGGCGGTGCGCCAGCGCCACGTAGCAGTCCGTGAAGAAGAGCTCCGTGATGACCAGGTCGAAGCGCTCGGCCGGTGCCCCGCCCGGGCCGCCCTGCAGCAGCCGCTGCACCGGCTCCTGGCCGAGCAGGAGCTGGCAATGGTCCAGGCCCAGGGCGAGGATGTTGTACGCGTCCCGGAACGGCGCTGAGATCTGCTGTAGTCGCCCTATCTCGAAGCCGTACTGGAAGAGGGGAAGGACAGACGTGTAAGTTCTGATCGTGCATAAACCCCGTGACGCGGGCGGGAATCTAAATACTATTATGGGGTCCCAAAAGCTTCAGGGCGGTCATTGGAGCCCATAAGAACCCCATGATAATTTCGCCCTGGGCCCAAATATTGTGGGGTGCCAAAAGGATTAGGACGGTCATTGGAGTCCATAGGGCCCCCATGATATTTGGACCCCCCTCTAATCATCACCATCTCCTTTGGACAAGACCACAGGCCCGCGTGACAAGTATACCGTACCTGTTGCGCCGGCGAGTTGAAGTCGAGCTGGACGAACTTGAAGTTGGCGGGGAGGGGCGGCGGCATGGGCACGCGGCTGAGCAGGACGACCTCGTGGCCGCGGGCGCAGAGCGCGCGCACCACGGGGTACACCACCTGCATGTGGCTGTAGTTGTTCCAGGGCATGGCCACCAGGATGCGCGCCGGGCCCGTGCGGGCCGTCGCGGCCCCGCCGCCGCCGTGCACCACCGCGATGAGCAGGGCGAGCACCGCCAGCACCAGGACTACGCGCGCCATGGTCACACGGTGCGCTCGGAGCGGCGGCTGCAGGTGGACTACAGGTGCAGAGACGAGGCCCGTTCACGACGATGACCCCTTGCGGACGACCCCAATCTCACCCATGGGGCAGCAACCCCTCACAGACGATAAAGTCGGGCCCGACAATCATTGCCGAGCGAAACGCGAAGCTCTCGTCGTGATACTCCAGCTAAAAAAAAAAATTCTGTCCGCCACTATCACTATACATTAACCTCTACGTTTATCAGGCATTCCTTTTAAGTTCCAGATCAATCCCCATAGGCAAGTGCTTCAGTACGTACAAATTAATACTCTTAATCACTGGAGAGAATATGAAAGATGCCAAAAGTTTAATATGTCTGAATTTGTAAAATAAAAGCAGCTAGTCAATCCAATAGGAATGCGTTTTTTTTCTATAGCACGACGTGGGTATTACTGTTCCTACGCAGGGTGCGGCCGTCCAAGAAAACCACTCGCTTGATCAATGAAATGCAATGAAGTTTCTCAGAGCGGATCAAAGGCCGAGATCGGCGTCGGAGCGCCTGCGACTCGTTGCCGTAGGCAAGCCCGTGGCGCTCGGGTGTCGCGCGGGCTGGCCCACCCCGCCCCTGGACCCTCTAGCGGAGGAGCCGCCCGCGCGCCGCCGCACTGGCGTGAGTTAGCAGTTCCGAAACTCGCACGGGCGGCGTGAGCAAGCAAGAAGTAACTGTGTCACTTTTGAGTGTGCGTGTACATGGTAAAGGGTGAGGAGGGGGGGGGGGGCGCCAGACTCAAGGTAAATAAAGTAGTGCAAAAGCCCCCCGTCTGCAGCGGTGAGATTAAAGAAATAAAAGGATCATACCTGAGGCATAGCACAAGTCATCGGGAAGTAAAACACAGGGCCAATTCCAGGAAGGGGTGTATCTGTACGTCACGTGCTGTATGAGCTACTGGGAGGTGCTACGGCTTCGTACAAAACATGACTGGACGCGTCTTGAGATGGGGAGTCATGGTATGTGTTGTAAAACAACGTAGCGCCTCTCAGTCGCTCACAAATCGCGTGACGGGCGGGCGTTTTTGACCATTTCTTCTGGAATTGCCCACAGCGTACTGATCGAACTCTGAAGGGAAACGCACATTATTTGTAAAGCATGAGTCTGCAAGCGTAGAGATGTTGTATCTGTCTGTACGTATGTGTTTGTTGTTTTTCGGGCGTTTTTGTTGTTGTTTTTTCGTCAAGACACACTGTTTTCGGCAGGATAAAGGAAGTACTTCTGACCGCGGATGATCTCCCACTTTCTTGAGAGTGCCATGAGAAAACTACCCTACCTAACATTTTTTCATGGTAGAAACGTTTTGCACTGAGTTACGGTACAACATTGATTAAACCAAGAAACCTTCTGTACAATAATTTATTTTCGTGCAGTCTTCAAGGATAGCGGGCCACTAGACATTGCCAGGTGGCCCACGTTAAGCCTTACTTTTCTCTACTGGGTAGGCGACCCGTTCTACAGCTACCGCATTGGACAAGCGGTTCGGCTAATGAGATCGCACACTCACACACAGCCACACCCATACACTCACACACACGCACGCACACGCACTAGGAGAGAGCACTGAACACAGCCATGTCGTTTTGGCACACACTGTACCCCTCACAGCCTGAAGCAACAGCTGAAGCAGCAACTTCGTTTTGCTGTCCATGTACAAATTGTTTCCTGCTACCGCGGGTACAACCGAGTAGCTCACTACACCAAGTTGTCTCACTGCTTCTTCTTCTTGCCGCCGGACTTGTCCTTCTTCTGGTCGCAGGCGCCCACCGGCGGGCAGCCCACGCGCCTCACGAGCCGCAGCACGGCCCGCAGCGACTTCCACAAGACGAACAGGGCGGCGGCCAGGAGCAGGAACACGACGGCGAACACGTCCAGCAGCGCCTCCTGGTACCAGGCGAGGTTGCGCGCGCCGCCGCGCAGGTGCGGGGCACCCTTGTGGCGGATCACGTACTCGGTCCAGTACACGGCCGTGTCCAGCGGAGACATGGGCCGGTCCCGGAAGCGCTCCGACAGCGCGCTGGCGTTCTTCTTGTAGCTGCGCACACACAGAGAGAACGACGGCCCGGTCAGCGCGGCTGCACGATGGGTTGCCTACCTCGCGGGCGGTGGTGTCCCGCCACCCGCCACGCCACGCCTTCACGCGACTCACCTGGGGTCCTCGAGCAGCTCCTTGACGTTCTTGAGGAAGAGATCGGCGTCCTTGAGGGTGCCGAAGGACAGGCCGCGGCCGGCGCCCGCCTTGGCGACGGCGGCCACGTTGGTGCGCTGGTCGCCGAACACGGGCACGCCCAGGAGGGGCACGCCGCAGATCGCCGCCTCGGTGGTGCTGAGCAGACCGCCGTGCCCGATGAACAGGCGGGTGTTGTTGTGGCCTGACAGACAGAAAAACAACACATAATCCAAAACTCTCAACGGGCGACTAGAAAAGTCAGTTTTGCAGCAAAATCCTTTGAAACATAAGCTTCGACACGACTGAATTAAGAAATGGCGGTTAAAGGATGAGGACTTACAGATCACGTCGAACTGGGGCAGCCACTTGGACAGGCGCACGTTGTCGGGCACCGGTCCGGGCGCCTCGTCCTCCCACTTCCAGACGACGCGCTGCTTGAGGGCGCCGAAGCCGCGCAGCAGGGCGGCCGCACTCTCCTTGGGCAGCGAGGAGGCGCGGATCATAGAGCCCAGCGAAAACAGGATCACGCCGTCCTTGGCGCCGCTCACGAACTGCTCCAGGTCCTGGGTGAGCGAGGG